ATATAAATATATATTTTTATTTATATATATATTTTTTTTATATAAAATATAAAATTATATATGACGAATAAATTTATACTTTATAGGAATATTCGGTCAAACATTTGGTCGGATTGATTTCGGCAACGTGTCAAAACAATAAGAAAACACGACAGCGATTGATCGCGCTTGTGGAGGAGCAACGGTTGAGTAGATAGCATTCAACCAGTTATTACAAGTCCATGTAAGATTCTATTGAAATAGAAAGTATCCGATTGTATCTTGATGTGTCGATAGAGAGAGGAGATGCGATAAATTAATCTTGTTGATTGGACAGTAAGAACGGTTTTTTAAGTATGTTGCGAAATCGAGACCGGATATTTCATATTTATAAAGTATTTTAATAAAATGTTTTTGAAAGAGAGAGAGAAAAAGAAAGTGTTACAGAGAGAGAGAGAGTAGTTAAACGATGTTGCAAATTGACATCGAAAACGGATACTAAAGAGAAAGACAGCAATTTATTTTTAATATTTCTCACAAATTATCAAATACGTCGCATGTGAATCTCATGTGTGTGAATCTATATAAGTTCGTAGTTAAAACTGAAATATATTATCAACCAACATTGCGATATCTCTGAGAAATCACAATGTTGCTATTGTTTTTACATGTAAATGGATCCATGTACATACAATTCTATTATATATCACTTACTATGTCACAAGTTTTATGTATATACAATTTGTGTTTTTGTTTTTAGAGAAAAAATAACTAAAAGTTTAAAACTGCTGATATTATTTATATAGGACCAGTGATATTTTTATGCTCGACTGTTTTAAAAGTTTGAATCTCTACATAGGTTTATTTTCGTAAAAAAAAAAAAAAAAAGACAAATTTAAAATGAATATTTTTTATGAAGCAATTTTATTTTTTATTTGAAGAGAGCTAAATAAAAGAGATAATATATTAGGTCTATCGGAAAGTTCTGTCTTCCGTTTTTGGAATAAAACAAAATACAAATTTTTCTTAATTTTTCAAAAATGGAATATACAAATTGTCCTCACGCTGGCAAGAAATCATTAATAATAATGGCAATTATATTATTATTTAATAAAGTTTATTGACGGTAAGAAAAATTTTGTTATTTTGTTTTATTCCAAAAACGGACAGAACTTTCCGGTAGACCTAATATATTAAAAAATAATCAACATGCTTGAATATTTTAATTTTTATTCGCTCAATTGACTAATTATTGAAACAGCAGAATCTCGCGTGACTCTTCTTTAGTAATTGTATCATTATTTTAGTGTATTTTCTCTTTAATTTAATATTTTATGTAAAAATTGGGAATATATAAAATATGTATTAAAAGTATTAAAATATTTAAGACATCTCTTGTTTTTTTTTTTTATACCCATAAATTATAAGTAACAGATATACATGTTCAGATATGTGGCGTGTAATACATACTCTGGAAAATGCACAATTTAAAGAAACTTTTATTATATACAAATAATGATAATAATATACAAGTTCATATACTTTTGTAAAAATTGCTATTATATTTTATATTGCATTATATTTTCATACACACCAAAAACCAAAAAGCTCCTGTTGCACCAACAGACACACAAACATACTGCTATTTTAAATTATTCTAATGCCCGTGATTCTTTGCAAATAAATATTTTATAGGCTTTATTTATCACAAAGAACCGAAATTAATCATTAATTTAATAAACATCTCTAAAGTGTTATATTTTATAAACGATAAATAATTTGAATGTATATAAATTTATAT